TATACCTTAATGCTTTATCAAATTTGGGATCGTAATTTAATTTGGATATCATGGGTATAGCATCAGAAGTCTGCGGATAATCTATATCTTTGACGTGAAGTCTATTTAAAGGCATAAAAGTTACTTCTCCAGGCAATCGTTGATTGTTCATTTCTTTTAAAATCTTTGTGCCAAACTTATCGGTCTCCACAATGTGATGAAACAACCGATTCCCAGCGGTTACTTCAACGGCCATATAAACACTCTTGTCGCAGTTGAAATTTTCGATTACAGGCCCATAATAACTGCTTACTTCATTAACCATATCTTTCCGTCCACTACAAAACCGAAAATATTAAGCACATATTACATATAATGTTATTATTATTAATGTTATTTATGTAATGTTACATAAATTTTAAACAGCATTTAAGAGCCGTTTTCAAAACTATATGTATGTAGTATTTACCATAAACAAAATTAAATCTTACCGGAAAGTATCTAATACTTTACGTACGCTATCCCTGCCATTTAAAATAGGTTTACCAGCCATGGATCTTAGACTCTGATCTGCTTTTGCTAAATCTTCTTTAAGACCAGATAGATTTAGTTGCAATACACTCTCCTGCCGATATCTGCAATTTTACATATTTCACTTGAAGCACTTCAATTTTTTAAAATAATTGTTGCATTTGTTATTTATCTAATTAAATTAAACATACTGTTCTTTTCGAGTTGCTTGACACTGATCTTTCGCTTTGGTAAGCTCATAATATTGTTTATTATGATCATCTATTGACGCACGTTGTCGTTCCATTTCACGCGTATGATCTCCTATTTTCTTCTCCAAGGCAATTTGTTTTTCTGCATCACGTTTTAAATCTTCGCTGATCTTTTTTTGATGCTCTTCTTTATCTTTTATCTGTTTGGTAAGTTGTTTAAGCTCATTTTGTATCCACTTGTCTCTTTCATCCTGCAATGAATAAATTTTTTTTAAATTTTCTAAAATTAAAAAAAAGAAAAAGAAAAATTATTATAACAATATAATTTTTTTTCTCTTTTACCTTAGTGGTGAATTGACTGCCACGACCTTGTTTAGCATATAATTCCTTACGTTTCTGCTCCTTTAATTGTAATTCTCGTGTACACTCTTCCTCAACACGTTTCATTCGTTCATACTAGATACAAAAATATTTTAATATTTTTAATATATTAAATATATTAAATTAAATATTAAATTAAATATTGCTTTACTTCTGGTTTAAGAGATTTCAACTCGTCTTCTCGAAGAGCAATATTGGCCTTCAACTTTTCTAATTCTTGTTGAGCACGTTTTTTACTGTCATTATCACCTTTTACCTCTTCCAACAAATCGTTAATGGTAAAAGTCAACTTATTCTTTTCTTTTAGTAATTGCTGCTGTTCAGCACTGCATCACAAATACTTTAATATATTTTTTCCATATCATATTATCTATTTTATATAATCTTTGATACGTACCTAAGAGTGTCCCTTTCTTCTTTGGCAGTCTGTACTTCCTTTTTTGCTTCTTTTAGCCTCTTTGTAGCTGCACGTACCATTTCTTGAGCAGTTTTGGCTTCTGCTCCCAATCTCGCCTGCTCGGCTCCACTATTCGCTCTAGACTCCTCCAGCTCTTCTAATTTTCTTTTATTTTCTTTAAGTTCACGTTCGTGAATCGTATATTCTAAACATCGACGTTGTTTGTCCCAACGCTGATATTCTTTCAGTTCTTCTTTTTCTTCCTCGAGTGTTTTCAAACGTTCCTCTGTAATAAAATAATTATTTTCTTCTGCATTTCATTCATCACTCGGATATTTTTTGAACTTAGCCTTTAATCACCTATTGTTCGCAGAAAATCCTCGATTTTCTCTAATTTTCCCTCTGTCTCTTTCAAAATGGATTTCGACTCTTCTCTCCTATCGTCGTATACCCTAGTACCTGCTACTTCTCTTAATAATTTTAATCTATGTGAATCTGGTGCTGTTGCCATTTGATTTATCTGTAAAATAATTATGTTATATATAACTATATTACTATACTACAACATATTATTATAAACATGTTATATCAATATACCTTTCCTTGTTTTACAATGTAGTAAGGATTAGACCTAGAAAATCCTGCTGATTCCAATAAATTCATCACATCATTCCTTGTCACTATTTTTTTATTGAGAAAGTATTGGTCCTTTTTGGAGCCAATCACTCTTCTTAAATATACTTCATCTTTATCAATCTACAAAAACAAAATATTATATATGTTATTGTTTATTGGAAAATGTTATTTTAATATATATAAATAAAGCAGCTTCAATATTAAATGTTAAATAATGAATAATAATGAACTAATAATTTTGTACCGGTAATCTTCCATCGGAATTATCAAAGATAATTTCTACATGAGCAGATATAACACGAGGTCCCGTTCCTTCATGTAGTAGTGCTTGCCTCTGCTCAGGCCTGAGATGAGAGAACTCATCGCTTAGGACAAATTGAATAGCATAAAAGAAGTTGCTTTTGCCAGACCCATTTCTGCCAACTTGTAAATAAAGTATCCAGTTGTAACATATATAAAGATTATATTCTTTAACTGTCATATCAATCTTATATAAGAGCGTTTCAATTACTTACCTACTACATTATGTCTCGGATCGAAAGGTTCGACGACCGTCTGTTCACGGTAGGATTTAAATCCTTGGATAATCACCTGTTCAAACACAAATCCATGGTATGAATGCGAGACATGTGTATTCACTCTATTCCACAACACATTTTACTGACTCTATGAGAATCACAATGACAACAAAGTGTCAACACTTTGAATGAAACGCTAACCTTAACAGTAATTTATAATTCACAATAAGTCTATATGAAATTCCGGTAGCAATTAAAATGTTAGAATAGGATGAAGGGAATGCAAGAAACGAATGTTACGACGGAAAAACGGAGTAACGATCTCACATCGACTGAGACGCGTCAGACGCGTGATTTTGGATTTTATTTGCCATACCTGTTTGATGTACATGATGCGACGGGAAATCGAGCATACGTATCATTCGTGTCGATATTAGTCGAGGACGCGGTCGGAAAACGTAGAAAAGTTCTCTGACGCCAAACGCGACGAAAACATTCAACCGACTTGTTGGCAGAGCGACATTTATACAACACGCAGGCTATCAGCTGCGAAAAGTCCCCAGATTTGGGCGGGAGATGCAGTTTCGTGTGTTAGGAAAATTGTTCATGTTCGGTGAAATGGAATTCGGTCGAGTAATCGATCCTTGAAATTTTGATTGGTGTAAAATGGAAAATCTATTCCGGAAATAAAATGGAGAGTTTTTCGGGAATTTAATTGGTGTAAACAGGAAGTCTGTTCTTTGTTGCTGCATTATTGGATTATTATATTACCTGTGCTCGAAAAAATTGACCAATCACGATCGAATTATAGAAGAATAATCGACTATGATTCAATGATCAATTTTTTACGGTTACGGTATAAGTTAACAGATTACGGCCTCCATAAGCCAACTCTAACAATTTCTATCATTTTTCATTAATTTCTTGATTTCATTTATTTTTTATCTTTTTTAATTTTTAGAATTGAAAAAAATAATAAAAAGTAAGTTGAATTAAGTAATTTGTTTTGATTTTAAAGATTTTAGCTTATATTTTAAATTCTCTTTTATTAACAAAAATTTTTTTAGAAAGTAATTTGACAACTTATCAGAAGATTTATAAGCCATTTAGAGTCTATCCCTTTAACTATGAAACTATTATTATATTTATTATTATTTTTATAGGCTACGGTCAATGTAACACTACAAATGCTTCGAAGCGTTTGATTGTTCAATCAAAATAAAGAATTTTACTAATGCATCAATCAAAAAATGCTTCAAAACATTTATAAGTTCTTGACCGTAGTGTAATCTATCAACATGAAAAGGCACCTTTGTGATTGAATTCGATGATTCTGTAACGACCTGTAATAAATCACATGTATTTTGAAAAGTCATATAAAACGCGTCAAAACACAGCTGAACAGTTCGATGAGAGATCCGAATACTAGCTACAATGGCATCGAGCAGAAGCACCAGAGAAGTTCTATTATCATTAGTAGATGACATCGAATTAATAGCGAAGTAAGATATATTTATTTTATAGTGGTAATACTTGGAGAATTTTAAAAGAAATTTATAGCAACGGTTCATTTTAAGTTTTTTCTCTCTTCGTATATCGTTTTGCCTTGTCTGTTATTTTTCATTATCTGTCATTCTAATTTAAATGTGTCCTGGTCTTCCAGAGAGATGATAGAAAATACAATCGCTCAAAAACCTGCAAAGCTCTCAAGCACAGAACATGCCCAGTTAACTGAATTGCTAGTCGCCAAGGATAATGAATTAAAGGCAACATTGAAGCGGGCTGCCGAACAAGCCATGATCAACTTGAAGATGGAGGCATTGAAAGCTGAGGTAGAGAAACAAGACCAGGACATTCAGCAATTACAGCGACAGTTGAAAGAGGCAGAGCAGATCCTGGCTACTGCGATTTATCAAGCGAAGCAAAAATTGCAATCTATTGCACGTGCTAATAAAAGACCAGTTCCTTCGGAGGAACTTATTAAGTATGCTCATAGGATAAGTGCAACTAATGCAATTTGTGCGCCTTTAACATGGCAACAGGGAGATCCTAGAAGGCCGTATCCCACAGATATTGAAATGAGATTGGGATATTTGGGAAGATTGAGTGATCTGCCTTTAAATGGACAGTTACTTGGATCTCATCCTGGTATACCAGCTGATTTACATAGAGCAGGACATCCCGCTGGAGGTAAAGTATCTTGTATATATCATGTTTGAAATCAATAAGAATTTTTAAAATAAGCAGATTTTTTTAAAAATAATCCTTGCTGTTCTAGAGCCACCTGTTTCACAATCAAATCAATTTGCCTGGCATCCATCAGGAGAGATTCATATGTCAGTCGGAGGGCAAGGAAGTGTGGCTGTGAATACGCATAAACAAGAAACAGAAGACGTTGAAGTTATGTCGACAGATTCTTCGAGTAGCTCATCTAGTGATTCGCAATAGATCTAAGTACTGATATACTATTAGAATTAAGGATATTATTTTCATAATTCAGCTCTAGCCATTTGTATGAAAAAATAAGACTCAATTTTAATTGTAATCAGGATATTATGGGCAATTAATGCAAATCATTTATTAGTTTATTAGTTTATATAATAGATATAATATAATTTATATAATAGATCTTATTAAAAGATATAAAACATAATATAAATTTATTTTAATTTATATATTAATTAATTATAACATAAATTTTTTATTGGAGGAATAAACTAACAGAAAATAGTATTTCGATACACATCTACTTTTTGAAGTTTTTGAAATTTAAATTTTTTTAGATTCAGTAAATATGTTACGTATATAGAAGATATATTAGATCAGTTTAATATTTATATGTATCATTAGAAGTACAATCCAAAAGAATTTGTGGTATGTATTTATGTAATATTTCAGAAGTATAATACATCTCAGGATTAGCCTACAACATAAAAAGAAATGATAACATAGGAAAATATTTGATACAGAAGAATCAACTTTTGAATTTTTTGTACTAACCAACAAGACTCGGTTGTTAAACTGTGATTTTTGAAATAAAACATTTTCATCAGTAAATGTTAAATTAAATAAGTTGCAATCCGCTTGGATCTTATTTATGTCTTTATAGAATAGAAGCTCCTGTAGTTTTAATCCTGGATATGTCAATATTTTACTATCATAACCAAAACTCATGATTTGCAGAACATCTCTAAAATAAAGTTTTATATTTAATTATTAGTAATTATTATTAACTCAATATAATATTTCATAATTATATTAAATATTTTGTATATGTCCAATATAAGAAATATATGTACCGTCTAAAACTCTGGAAATTACAAAAAAATGCACAAGCTAATATCTTGTTTAATTGTCTAACTAAACGAGAAACACGAACATAGTTTCTCGTGTACCAAGCAAGTGAGATCTTTGTGGCTAATTCAACTGCGGATGTTTTTCTGTATACACAAACGTAAGAAGTATGTAAAAAATTAATATCAAATATTTGCGACGCACATGAATTTTGAATAATTTTCACATTTTTTTTTTTAAATACCAACATACTTTAAATCTGATGGAAGTATTAGAGCTCTTCTTAAAGCTTCATTATCTCCAATATGAAGAAGAATATATATAGCCTCCATTTCCGATCGACGATTGGTTAACGTTAGTTTTTCGAGATCTTTGTGTATTTCTGAATTATCCTGTATATTTTCATAATCTTGTTGATCATATAATATAAGTAATTGATTGATACATTCTAACAAATGTTTACTGTTTATTTTAGGATCGAATTCTGAAATGTTTTTTTCACATAATCTAGAAAAAAAAGATTTGACAATTTCCATCTTTTTAGAGAATGTGTTTGATTATTTTATACCTTTGTGCAGAATAGATGTGAAATCGGACAATTTGCTCTAGAAGGAGAATATTAGGAGCAGTATCAATTCTTTGTATCACAGCATCTTGTCGTATTGCTCTCAATCGATCAAATATAAAATCATATATTTTCGCCCAATCGAAATCCGTTCGTTTAGCTATTCTGCAATGATATGCATTAAATATTACATAATATCTCGTAATGGATCATGAATAATGTTTTATGATATAAAATAGGTATTTTCTGATAGCAGTCATTTGTGTACTCTTACACGGACAAATTATACTTAAATAAATTGTTGAAATTACTTGGTGAACAAGTATCGAATAGTGGATAATAATACATGTGGAGGACGCAACGAGTCAGGATCTGTCATCCGGTTTCCAGCAGCAGAACGCTTGAAGCATTTCACCATTTTCATTGGATCACCTATGGGTTTTTTCATATTTATAGTTTTTTATAAATCTCAAACCTATGTAACAAGCCTTCTCTTTGTCTCCTAAATGAAAATAAATTCAAATTTTGAGAAATTACACATTTCTAACTACATTTCATTATTTATAAAAATACAACAGGCAATTAGTCTTTTTAATAATTGCTAGAAACATTTATATTATTAGACAAACAAATCATAAAGAAATCAAAATTTAATAAGATCTATCATTATCAAATTTTTATATATAAGTTTTCCACATTGTTTGGAAACTGACCAGATTTGTTCTTTTTTCGGACACATCCAGGGACATCGTCCCACTATTTTCTCGTTGGACGACGTCATTACGTCTCTTTATCCTTTCAAATTTATTAAAAGAAATATATGTATCAGGTATCATTTATACAAAAATCAGTGAAGACACATTGTGATCAACAAACTAGAGTATACCTAAAGGTTGATTTGCATAAAATACATACACAGAGAAATCGACCAATCACAAACAATATATCGCACGCGGCGATGAAGCAGCCTCCGCGATTGGCTAAACATATTTTTTTGAGCAGCTATCTGCGCACGCGCAGGATACCCGGGTCCCAGGTGTTGTGTAACACGGCGAACAACAATAACATCGGTTGATAGCGGATGACAGATGCGAACGGTTGCTGACAAGCATCTTAACGAAATTTCGTAACTGAGACTGACCCCATAAAGCTTCCCCGTGGTACAACATCAACGGACACCGCGTCGTGGGTTGTCATTTCATAACAGCGAGGCAGCTGTATGAGAGACATCCAATTTTTTTCTCGTGAGCGAAACTTTCGCATCCGGAGGGTCCAGTGATTCCCGCCAATTTGACACAAGGTACAGTCCGACTCCGTCATGCCGTGTCTTTCCATTCCCGATGAATCCTGCATGTAATTCTTGCATCTTCCGCACGGAATTAATCCGCGCGACATGTGACATCGCCAAAAAGGTAAATCATGTAACGATCTGAGATAGCAGTTCCACGAACATTTCTGTCAAAATAAATATTTTTCTTTTTTTTCGTGTCCTTATCTTGTTTGTTTAATTTATCTGTATTATTCATTGTACATATAGCTCGACATATGTTGCTTTGACAGTTTATGAAATACATTTCAGATACGTATCCAAACATGGATGTAAGGACAGTACAAAATTGGCTGAACAGGCTTCCTGATAACTGGCATTCGCCACAGAGCCCCGACGAACTTGTCATTCAGAAGAGAGGTCGACGTAAATCTATAGTGTGGTCTCCTGATCTCGATTCTTCTAAACGACGCAGCCTCCTTAGGTATGTTAATTTGTATGTGTATTTGTAAAAGAATTGATAGTGTTTTGATTAAAGAATACTAATAATTTTTCTTCAGCATAAATTCTAAAGATCATACACCAGTCAAGAGCCCACAAACACCAAATATAGCATTGAAGAACACTGCTAGGAAGAGGCTCTCCCTCGTTGATACTCGCCAATCTAGTTTTATCACACCAGAAAGAAAAAAGACTTCATTACCTTCTCGAATATCATTGGATGTCACAAATGCGTCGGCAAGGCGATCCAATGATAGTTTGGCAAATAATTTGCGTGGTCTCAGTCATGAGCAACTCGTGCAGTTGATCATGGAGTTGGTGTGTGCACAGGAAGACAATGTATTGAACATGAATGAGAACCTTCGTGATATTCTTTCCAAAAAAATGCCAAATGCAGACATTCAGCCACTGATAGAAAACTTGATTTCTCTGCAGCAAAATGTTTATGCCAGCCTTGTGTTTGTCTCTGATTTGACTGATAGTTCCACATATAGTCGAGCTTATGTACATCTAGATATGTTTCAGGTTGGTGCAACATTAAAATATTTTTATTTTGTAAACGTTTAGAAATTTTTCTTTGATTATAATAATTTGATTAATTATTGTTTGATTGCCTAATTTATTAAAGACTAGTGATAGTTCATTAATTTGATTTTTCTGTTTTGTGATTTGTTTTTTTAGAAAACTTTGGTCGATCAGGGAAAAACATTGCAAAACTCTCAGCACTGGGTTTCATTGATGCACTATTCACTAGAAGCGTGGAAAATCGCTAAAAAATTACCAGAATGGGTAGAACATGGTTCTCACAATGTTTCATATAAATGTTTTAAGAGTCTAGCGCAGTTTTGCAATGAAGCTATAAAAAAGGAAATTTTGAAACATCGACTCTGGAAAGTTACATTGAGAGGTATATGAAATATAGAGCAATTTTCCATTTTTTTTTCTTTTCATATTTTTATATTTATGTGATAATCTGTAGAAGTTTCATATTGGACTTAATGCCAAATTGAAGAATCATTTGAACATTAATTATTAATTAATTAATTTCAGTATTAAAGCTATAGCTGAAGAATGCAAAGATTTTCAATTGTGTTTACAAACAGCAAAGGAAAGAAAACAATTAACCAGTGACATTTAGGCTATTTATAAAACGCCATACTCATATATTTAAATATTTTCTATAGAGATGTGATAATTAAAATTAATATTTTTTTTTACTTGTGTTTGTATACAGGATATATATATATATATAAGATAAAATTAACTAGTGATAGAGAATTGATCAGTAAAGTTATTGCATATATTGATTTTAAAAATGAAAAATGAAAAAACTACTTTGTCTCTATACAATATTAAATATTTCTTGTCCTGTATATGCATACACATTGACATAACCATGGGTTTTATGTTTATATATGTATAATTAGTGACTGCGTTTACGTTACAGACACATGGGTAAAACATACGAAATGCTATTGTTATAATCCGTTTTTGACTGAGCTGATACAAAATTTTAACAATTTATTATACATGCCGATTCTTATTTTATGTCATTTATTTTAAGTTTTAATGTGTATCAACCCATAAATGGAAAGACATTTCTTTAATATACTAATATATCAATAATTATTAGTTTTAAAATATAAAAAATAAGTATAAATTATTTTCTTAATAAAAATATTTATTTTTTATTTATTGAGAGTGTATGATAAGAAAATAAAAAACGAGTAGAACTAAAGAATTATTTAATAAAAAGTAATAAATTTTAAAAAATTTAAAAAAAATTTTTCCATTTAAGGGCCTAGCTTTATATATTAATTAATATATTTGTTAGAATGTAAATATAAATAACTTAAACTTTATCCGGCTAATCTTTACATGAATAATATTTTTTGTAAAATTGTTCTTATATCCATTTTTAACTTTCTTTTACATAAGTTATATTTTTTTCATAAATATAGAATCAAAGGCATGTTTCTATGTTAAGCAAGCGTGTCAAGCATTGTTTGAATTGTGTAGCAATTTTTTCCTATTTATCGTAACTCGATATACTTAAAATAGTTAAAGCCTTGTATCGCCAAATATTTTTACATATTTCAAGAGTATTTTTATATACAACAAATGTAACTGAGTAGTTTTATTATTACTGATAATATAAGTTTAACGTATTTATTATAAAACTAGCCTGATGGGGAATGGATGAAAATCATATTTTTTTATTAAAAACAATTTATTCGTCATAATATATCGTGTTTTCTTATAATAATCTATCCATATTATTACTTTCGAAAGGCACATATTTCACTTGACGAGCAGTCAGAAATCTTCTAAGCGATTCGCATTCGCGTATATGATACACCTGTACATATCTTACAAGAGCACAATAGCAATGGTGCTTAGAAAATTCCTGACAGCAGTCCATTCGATCGAGAAATGATCGTTATTCTTGTACATGCCCATCTAAGTATTATATGTCATTTCAGGCATTCTCGAATCAATAATACGATCGGGAATAATCGAAACATCATCGACATTCCTTTAGTATCCTAATTACGTGTTTTTTTTTTCTTATATGATTGCACATCGTCGTTTGAAACGCTATCTCATATCGTTCCTCGTCCTTATCGGCAAGATTACATTACGCGTCGTTTAGGAACAGCTTTGAAAAGTCGGAGATCGAAAACAAAATCCGAAGGAGCTCAATATATACCAAAATATTTTGGGCAAAAACAATGTAACAACATATAATCTGACCTCATCTAAACTCGAACATTTAGGTGAAGCAAATTAAGACGATAAAACTCGTAAAATCGATGCTTGCACATAAATCTACAAGATGATCTGAAATCGATAAAAGATGAACATACAGCACTTGTGAAATTTCGAGATAAACATTCTTAATAAAGCGCGAGATTACTTTTCCACGATTTATTAAAACTCAATTTTTTAATAACTAAGTCTTAAATTAAAATTTTGTACAAATACAAAAAGAAAATAAAATACATTTTACATTAAACAACGAGTTTCATTATTTGTTCGTGTATCTAAAACTTAATTTACTAGAGGGCACGAAACCCTTATTTTTATATATAATAACAATCATCGGAATTTCACAAGGTTAAAAACGTTAAAAACGTGCTATGCATTTTTGCCAATTTCAGAATAGCTTGTATAAAATAAAAGTATAAAATCCCCCTTTTCGAAAAAATTAAATCATAATATCTGAATAATGTGTTAAACACATATAAATGATGTAATTACTTACGAGTGTGTAAATAAAAGGCATAAGATATTTCACTAATTCTTAACTAAACTTTCGAACAGAAAGTTAAGTTGAGAATATATATATATATATATATATATATGCAGCTATAAATTGTGACAAATGCAATAAAATCGGATAAACATCCGGCCAATATAATTGTGTGCAATCCATTGTAAAACATCCATCCTACATAAAATGTGAAAAGAGAAAATCATTGGTAAATGCATTGCTATATTTTATGCATCGTCGATAATTACGAGTGACGTGTATCTATACGATTATTTCAGCTCGCGGATTTATGGCAAATCGTAGCGACCGCCGATCAAAATCCAAAATAACGCAATCTCATTTTACAAACTACAAAAAAAGAATGACATAACATTGTAATTAAAAGGTTACTACACTGTTAAAAAAAAATCGGGTAAATTCCCGCTTCGCGATATCCGTATCCGCTCGGATGGCAATGAGATGCTATTAAATAACGCTATTAATATGCCTATGTATCATGTTATAACAATTAACAAGATAAAGCTGCAAATCGAATACTGTAGTAATCATCGAATATCCTGCGACTGCTTTAATCAACCGCTTTCACTGGCTGCACTCTGGGATATAACTAAAACAAACATTTATAATAAACTTTTAATATTTTTTATGTATGTTATATATTTTTGAAAATGTTTAAATTTTCGTATGTATCAAATTTATTTAAAAATTTAAAATTATATATTTTTGCTAATTTGAAATTTAGAATCTAAATCTTTTTTTTATATAAAATTTTGCATTTGAAATTTATATCTCTTATACTTCGAATATTTTGCTATTCGATAATCAGTTTAATATTCGCACAAAAAATATTTCTTAACAAATTTTTTAACTTTTAACTTTTTGATATAATATATTTTCGCGATTTAACTCAATTCGGAGAAAGATTATATCAATATATATCAATATATCTTAATTAGTTCCGCTTACCCCTAATAAATTTCGTGGTATGTAACCTTCTTTATGCCCAAGTTTGCTCCACCACCATTCCCGTTCATTATCATCCCCCTTCCGAAGTACGACTACAGAGTCGCCGTTCTTCAGCGAGAGTTCGTCAGCGTGTTGCGCTTCGTAATCGAAAACCGCGTATACTTGACCGTTATTCATGATTCCCAATTTTTCCTGAACACCTGTGTATAACAAAAAAAAAATAAATCTTATCATAACTACATCCTCTTATTAAGACAGACTTTAAATTTTATTTCGATGATACTGACTATACAAGTATTCCGAACATCCGTCGAATCCTTCCTCATCTTCTTCGCATTTTTCCGCAGCAGTTTCATGATCTGAAAGGGTGGTTGCGAAAATGCAAGCGCCGTGTTCGACCAAGAATCTCACCATGGATAGATTATTGCAACTAGCAGCGCAGTGTAACGGCGTCCTATATGAACAATAAATTTAGATATTTGTAGCAAGTTTTTAAAAATTAATATTTGTTTGAAACATGTTGCAATAACAAAACGCTTATGTTGCCAAATTTTTATCTTTTCTCCCTAATTTTAATTTTGATGAAATTTTCTGTGATCCATTTTTTCTTAAGATTATTGGAAATTATTTTTTATTCCAATTTTTCAATCTTTAATACTTTTTGCAATTAAGTTTCAAATTTTTTTTAAAGATTCTATTAAGTAAAACTATTTAAAATTAAATGGAGGAATATAATTTTTCGTTGATAATAATCTATGGTGGTCAATTTACCATCCGTCGCTGTCCTGGGCGTTGACATCGCAACCGAACTCTACAAGGAATTTGACGATTTCAAGGTGACCGGCGCATATGGCATTATGCAGAGCAGTAATGCCTTCGTCATTGGCGGAGCTTGGATTGGCGACCTCTTTCGCAGTCTTCTTCACGAGTTCGAGTTCTCCCTCGAGACTAGCGTCGAGCAGCAGTGCCAACGGGTCGAACGATACTCGCCTGGACAGATTGACCTTGCCACTTCCACCCCCCGTATTTGATGATTTGAGATTTCCCTTTTTCCTCCTCATCACTTCTGACATTTTGTCTCCGTCCACTTCCATTTCGCCGCCTGTCCCACCGGTCAATTCCGAATCAGTCTTCATCTTCGTCGGCTTGTCCTCTACATTGATGACATTCAGAGCGTCGATAATATCCGCTTCCTCCAGCCTCTCGCCGTCGCCGATATCGTCGCCGATTAAGGTGGTAACGTTCTTGCAATTGTCCGTAGTATCGATGATTTGCTGTTGATGTTGCTGCTGTTGCTCGGTCTGCATGAGATCCGCCGGGATTTCCATCTCCGGGAACAGGAAGGCTGGGGGCATCTCAATGCGTCGATTTATCGATACGTGAACATTGGATTTGGCGTATCTCAGCTTTGGTTGTTCTGATATCGGTACTTTCTTCAACGTCAGCGGTCGAGCTTTAATAATCTGATGACTCGCTAATTGCGTCTCCGTGGGAGATTCGGGCGGTTCCGATGTAGGGATCGGCGGTATGTCTTCGTCCTTATCTGATCTAAGGTTCATAAAATTTAAAAATTAAGAAATCAATAATCATTGTGTTACTATTGTTATTATATTACATAGATGGAAAATAAAATTATAATTAACTTAAATAATCTTATTTCTAGTCTAGATTGATTTGTGAATATTGTGCGTACTTAACATATCGCCCAACAGAAACCCAATCAAATCAATTAAAAAAAAAAAAATAAATAAATAAATAAAATAAAAATAACGAAATATAATAATTGTCGAAAAAAATTACTTCGATCAAGACTTACAACTTACTTCTACCTACTGCAACGTACGGAAAGCCGAATATAATTTGCAGCGCAGAAATCTCATCCAAGATTTTGCGAATCCTGAATGATCGTGTCGACTCGTCAATTCGGCTGCGTACAAGTAAGTCACAAAAAGGGCACAAAAAAAGCGCGGACGAAATTACAAGATTGTCTGACCCGACTGTCGTTCGATTATCAATCAAGATCAATTGTTCAGTGGACAGATGTTGTCTAGTAGTCGCGATAATTGAGTATCTATTCGCAATTAATCATGCACGAAATCGTCGCCTGACACGTTGGTCGTGTGTATCACTGGCGTATACTGATCGGAGAACTTGTGAACACTAAGAGGAGCGTGGACCCATGTCGTCTCCGCGGCACACAAAGCCGCGGTTCTATTTCGGTGTCTATTATTCGAGACAGGCTTCGATTCACTGGCCAAATCGATCGCGAACTAATTAACATTTATAATTAACCCAGTAATCGTTTTGTCATTCCGCAGTACGAGCCCGCGCGAATGGTTCGATGAATTCCTCGACGATCTCGTAACTTTATGAAGAGAAGGGGGAGTGCGAAAAAAGTGTAGTAATTAAAAACGTACTTGAACACGAATAAGATCCTTTGCGTACGCATTGGCTAACGATAAAAAAATTATGAGAATAAAATATTTTGGACTAAATCATATAAATATTTTTTTAATGGTGAGTTTTTATAACATTTAAGATTGTTTATTTAATTTTGATATGATCTAGATTTTCCTAAATCTTTTTTTCAAAAGCTCCTTTTACAATAAAAACATTCAAAGTAGTAGAAAAGGAAAATATTAATATTGCAAATAATTGTACATATTCTTATATTATATACTTTGAGTAAGGAAATGTATAAGAATATATAATAATATAAGATCATAATTAAAATATATACGACCTTTTATATATTCGATATCTCATTCTTTCTCCAGAATCACATCTACACGTCAGATTTATACGTCAAAAATTTTATTTAAATGTTGGAAATATATACGAACCTTGAATTGAGATTTGCATTCGTCATCTTACACTCGTTGATCCCTTCGGACGAGGATACGTCAATCTTCTCATGATGAGTCAGTCTTGGTGGCGGATTTGGTTTGCTCGGTTTTGGTGGCAATGCCGGCTTTGTTTTATCTTCTATTCGTGACTCGTTGAAATTCTTCCTTTCGCCATCGCTGCTCTTCGTCGTCGGTCTATCAAATTCAAATGGCCTGTCCGGTGGTTTCGTGGAGATATCGAACTTAGTGCCCACATGCTCAACCGCGTGTTTCGTCGTGGAATTTTGTTCGTATTTAGCTGATATCATCTCGAATTTGTTCTGACCACTACTCTCGTACTTATTCGGCTCTGTCTTATACTCCGTTTTGTACTGATTAGCACCCGAAGGATCGTGCTTGAATGATGGATTGTGATCGTATTTAGTTGACAATCTTCCCTCGTGCTGTTGTTGTTCATGTTTGGCGTATTGTGGCAGATTCTGGCAACCAGGTTCGTACTTGACATTGTGTAGATGCTGGTCGAGTTTCGTTTGATTTCCGGTTAATTCGTGTTTGCTGCTCTGTTGTTGAATCTCGTATTTGCTCGTGAGATTCTGATCGTATCTAGTTTGCTGCTGCTGCTGTTGCTGCTGTTCATGTTTGTTGGACGGTAACACGTGTTCGAATTTGTCTTGACTCTTACTCGGTTCAAACTTGGCTTTCTGATTATTCAATATTTGATCCTGGTTCTGTGCAAGATCATTAGAATTCAACACCTGCGACGACTGGTTATACTTCTGGGAAGAATTGCCAAAGTTCGCAGTGGTCGCGGCATTATGAAGGCCAACGAGATTCGACGAACTCTGGATCTGATAGACAGCTGCCGGAGAAGAAGTGTGAATGCTCGTTGTCTGATTCGGATATTGTTGCTGTTGCTGTTGCTGTTGAGCGACAGGATAACTAGGATGTCTATAACTCGTCTCTTGATTCCCAACGCCTGATTGCAGCTGCGTGCTCGACGCCGTTTGCTGTTGATTGTTGCCAATGTAGTTTTGCGCCGTGTTATTATTATGACCACGACCCAACAGGCTCAATGTCTGCGGCATAACCGGATGAATCTTGGTCGAAGAGGTCTGATAGATCTGTGATTTGACAGAAAAACTAGGCGCCACACTCGACACTGGTTTTTGATGGCCACTTACGGTCTGTTGCAGATTTCGATGTTGGTTCTGCGCGGTTTGCGCGATCGACGGAACGGTAACACCAACGAGATTCGATGTCGTTGATGTACTGTTAATACCGGTCACATTATGTTGCTTCTGCTGAAGATTGCCATTCTGATGCTGCTGTTGCTGTTGCTGCTGCTGTTGTGCCTGCGATTGTGGTTGATGTTGATGAAGACGAAGTCCTTGCGATAGATTGTCCGGACTGAAGCTATGCGCAGTATTGTTACAGATGAGATTGTTGCTATTATTGTTATTGTTATTATTATTATTATTGTAGTTGCAACTCGACTGGATTGTCGTGGGCTGGTTGCCAAGATTTTGATTGTGCTGCTGCTGCTGCTGCTGTTGATTGCTTCCTAATAATTGTGATTGCCCTAAACATTTTAAATCGTTACTAGATATATATACACAAAAATGGATGTCTATTAATAATAATTTCACATTTATAATGTTAATTATTAATTTGCAAATATTTGTAACAAATTATCTTTTTAATAAAAAAAAATTAATAATTCAATTTATATAATAATAAATAATTACGAATGTTCGAGCCTTTAAATCTTAAATTGCGAATAAAATACTCACCTTGAATGTGCGATTGCGACTGGCTGTGAACAATTTGGTGTCCGTATTGCTGAAAGGTCGACCGCTGTCCCAATTGGGAGGCGCTCGCCGAGTGTTGGATTTTATTTTTGTTCCCATCGTCTTCTATAGCCTTGAAGTTCATTGTGAACTTGGTGTTGTACGGCAGTGTCTGGTACTTGGGGTCGTTTTTGTTCAGATTGAAATCGTTGTCATTCGGTATGTGCGAATACGGCTCGATCGCGGCGATATTGCCGGCCGGCCTTAGCTTGCCGCCGTTATTAAAACCGTCGAGTTTTGTATCTGGGAATCCTGTATTGTTAACACTACTGTTACCGTTAGGACCCACTTGCGTCAATCGTTGATTCAACGCTCTCTTGCGCTGAAGACGACTTTGGAGTTGAGCTATCCGCGCGTCTATCGACGCCATCTCGGCCTGTCGTTGCGCCAGAGCCTGCCGTTGCTGGGACACCATTTGGTTTTGCTGTTCGTTCATCTTGTTGCGATACTGTGCACAAATTGGGAAAAAATAAATTCGCATTTCTCCTCGATGTGATATTTTCCTACGTGTATCTTATAAGTTCGAAACTCGCACATGGAAAGGTTGTATGATTTAAAAAGAGAATAAAAGTTTTATACATGGATAATTAATTAACATTACAAAACTGAATATTTTGCCTAAATGTTCAATGTAATACATCAGTATCAAGATAAAATCATTTTCTTTGTAAAAGTTGTTTGAAATCAACATTTTAAACGGAATTATATGAATACTCGATATTTATGCCACCAATCGATATTTTATTAAAATAAATTCTTTTCAAAATAAATAATTAACCAATAACATTTTATTATTTATGTTCTGAGACTGAATTATCAAAAAAGCTATTTCAAGATGAACCAAAATTATAATCAGTATATATCTCGGCATCTGACTAAAGCAATAAACAAATCAGTTTCATAAATCAGAATAAATCAGGAATATAACCGCAATTCTGGGTGGTCCTATAAATATATCATAATTGGTCGTATTTATAGTCAATTAGCGTAGGTTGAAAATGGGGACAAACATTATGACATTCCCGAGTGAGCGCTTTAACGGGACAAGGCCGGCTCTCTTGGGATCATAATCGATGGCACGGGCTTACCATAAGCTCCCTCCTGAGTTTCTCCAGTTCGGCGCTGGCTGGGGTGACCAAGTGCCCATTGCCGGCGGCACCCGTGAGGCCGCCCCCGATGCTGCCGGCACTTCCACCACCGGCGGGGGCATTCTGACGACCCCTGAGTTCCTCCAGCTGCCGCGTCAGCTCTTCAACCTTCGCCACAGCCACCGAGAGCTCTTTTTCCTTCTCGTTGAACAGAGCTCTTATGCAGTCCAGATCAGAGGCTACGGAAGAACGGAAGAGAAATAATGAGAATAAGAACAAGTGCAATAAGAAATAACAAGGGTAATAGAAATAGGAAATAATACATAATGAGGCAATATAAGAATAAAGAAGAATAATATGAATAAAAAAATATCTTGCGAAAGCTACAAATATCGAAAGATTTATTTTATTTTCATATGTAATATCTACGAATAACCTTGTTTATTACATTAGGACTGGATAAATTTTATAATTTCCAACAATTTAGAGAAATATATCATATACTTTATTAAATATATTTTGAAACTCGTTAAATATCTTCGTGTATATTTTTTATATTTTATTTATTTCGCGTGACCAATTTATTTTGAAATGTTTATTAAGTAACACATGAAAATTGTTACAAAATTTAGATGACATTATTGCGAGAGATAGAGTGGGTCGTTACGAGATACATCGAATATTGATACGGGAAAATGAACGAGATACCCTTTTACGCAGCCTTTGACATTCAATATAATAAATCGAGGCCTCCGGGGTATATACACCCCTACGTCGGACACCAGCGGACGTTACGAAACACACGCCGGGGGATGACGTCGTATTAACCGGCGCATTAATCATCGCTCGGGTGACTTACCCGAGAGCGATACACTTTCCGTGGATTCCGTCGGTTGATATCTCATCTCAAGCTCCCGAGGAGCGCAACGCCGTCTCTCGTATCTTCGTGTCAGATTAGAAAGTTATTATACGCGCGCGATGGACCACTAAACCAACCACATATTGCTACACGGAACTCGGTATTGGCCGTGCAGAGCGATCTGCTGTGACCTGGAATTCCATTATCGAATTCTGGATTGGTACCCGGTCGACTCTCCGAGTACTATCTATCTATCGCCCAGGAACGGCGTCCTTTATGGTCTTTCATTACTTCCTGTATGTAATCCTATAGCCGTGCGAATCCGTCATTGAAATTGTCAATGCGATTCTAATTTATACGAGACCGATTAATAACGGGTACCGATCTCCGATACATCATCCCGTTCAGCGAAGTCTCGTTCGATGATAAAGATATTAATTCACATTCGTATCGTATCGTATCGTATATATATCGCGATTAATTCTTTAAGAATGCAATTATTAAAAAACAATTAGTCACGCGCCGCGCCGTGCTACGTTTGATAAATGCTCGAAGAAGAAAAATTCGGGAAAACATTCTGGGAGAAAAATTCGTATTTTCTGAAACTCGTCTCCCTTTATTTTTATTTACTTCTTTCAGAAACTTTTCTTTAGAAACTATCGTAAAGCGGTTAGCAGCACGAATCCTTTCCTAACACACTGTTTCTACGTACCGCCCCGTAAAAACAGGGAATCAATTGCATTTCAAAGTTAACTTTTACTAATTCTCTGAAATGTTGTTGAGATTTAAAGTTGCGAATTCAAGAGCGAGCCGGCTCTTGCGTGCCGAATAGATGATATGGCTCGACTTCCTTTTGCGTTGTTTGTCGACTACGGTCCGTTAGCCAGCCACGCCGATCGGCATTTTTGCCAATTGGCATAGATCGATCGGCACGTGCTCGCTTATATATGGCAACGCGCTTGCCGATCAAATGGACGATTAAAACAAATGTGACGTAATAAAAAGAAAAAAAAAAGAAAGACTTAGTAAATTCAACATAAGGCCTATCAAATCACACGCTAAGAGTAATTTCTCAATGCGTGTGTCAGAGCTAATTTAAAAAGATTGCATTCAATTATTCAGCAAGGCTATTATATATTTCTAGCACGAGTTCATATTATTTATAACGTCAGAAAGAGGAGAGGCAATACATCAATCGCATACAGATGCGGTTGCGCAAGAAGCTCAAGTGTGGGCGGCCGCTGGGTGAATATTTTGCGAATATTTTGCACGGGTGTATAAAGAGGTCGAAAGTTGATTTCCTTCCGCGTAAATTTAACTTTTATCGCAGTTGAATTTAATTTGGAATCAATTTCGCCAACGGCAATTAACTTCAACGGTAGTTCAATTGTCTCTTTATATCTCCTTTTGCAGGTAGAATCCGAAAAGAACTAGCAAAACAATCGAACCACGGTTAAAGCTTAATGGATATTGGCGATATTGACGCTAAATTAAACGACGAATCGTTGCCTTAAAAGTCTCATCAATTAAGGTTGATTGAGGTTTATTGTCTTCTCTGTCTTGTATTTTTAATGGGAGGCGGGGAGAATCGGTTAATCATCTCTTTGATCTGCACGAATATGTGTTTCCACCATATGTGTTTTCACCTTAGCAAAAGTAGCAAAAGACAATTATATCAACGCAAATGTAGCTGCGAAAAAATAAATAACTCGACGGTTCAGTTTGTCCTGTTGCTATCGAGAGCGGACCGAATTAAACTAGTAGAGAGAAGCGGACATTTAATTATTACGGTTTTCGGCTTAACTTCTGGCGCCCTAAAGAGGAAGTGGTTAAACTAACGTTAAACTAACGCTTTAACGCGCATGGGAATGTGGGAGGGAATCCGGAGAAACGCGAGCGAAACCTGACCTGATGGGAGCAATCGTCATTCTCTCTCTCTTTCTCTCTCTTGCCAACAAAATCAAATGCCTCTCTCATTATGCATGCCGCCATCCACGCCACTCGAGATTACATACGCATAAAGTCCGCAGGGCGAATATATTCGTAGAGGTATCGAAGAGCGTAGAATTCGAGTGCTCGACTTTTTCCGGAGAGACGGTTCCCTCGAACTCGCTTTCCCACGAACACATCACGTTTCGTCGTTCAGTCTATTCAAAGGCAATTTCGCAGCCACCGAATCTTGCTTCTCAAGATTCTTCCTTATTCCAGAAACGAGCCTCGTCTCTCCTTCACTCGTCTCAATCGCTTCTCCCTCCCCCGCCCCCCTTCCCTCATAGGATGACTCGCAACTTCCGCGGTCTTAATTTTAACAATAGCTCTTTGATGACTAATCGACTTTTCCTCTCCGGTCCAAAATTATCATAAAGGTCAGCCAAGAGCCGTTCCGTATCTCTTTTCTTTCTTTCGCGCATATATGCGTTTAATATATAATAATGCATCACTTCATTTTCTTCATTTTGTCGTCCCGCTCATTTGCCGTTCTCATTAAAGTTTCATTAAAAGCGTGAAGATAATGAAACGGATACCGCATACTCTGTCTTCATTCTTTATCTTGTTTGCACTTACATCTGTCGCGAATAAATATTTTGCTTGAAGAAAAAGAGACAACGTAATGTAAATCACCGAAATATTAAGATTTCATATTTTCGAAGATACATGAGCACATTTTATTTCGAAAAAAATACAGTAAAAATAAAATTTAATTATATCGAACAGACTTGCTTATTTCCTGCTTCCGTGTTCATATATACTCATAACAAAGAATATGTAAGTATTAGCGTACACAGAAAAAAAATCAAGACTGTATATTCTCCATATATTCTCATGTAGAGAGCAAGAATATTATAATCTTGTTAGAAAAATTTTAATATTGATGCAAATATAAATATATGAGCAAGAATATTAAAGTTTTCATATAGAAGATTTTTAATCTTGAGTTGAGTAAAAGTACTTGCACTACAAATACAAATTAAATGAAGACTAAAATTTTTAAGAAGATTATAATATTCCTCCTTATATACCATAAGAGAACATTTTTCTCGATTTAGGACTAATTTCTTTTTCAGCATACAACGAACACACACAGCGCGCATTAGGATCGACGATAAAACAATCGTAAAGAATACAGAGAAGTAACAGAAGAAGCGAGGGGCAAACCGCTTGACGTTTAACATTTCAACATTTCTCGAATGCTAACAAGAACAATGCTAAAATAACGGTACGAAACTCCATGAAAAATCAATTTTCAAGCTCGATATAGTTTACGAGTCGCTCCCGAGTGTTTTTGCTCGGGAACGACTTTTTCTTTGTAGCTACACTTTATATAATCGCCTGTCAAAAGTATCGACTTTTGCATCGGCTCTGAAAGGCTACGCGAGTCTGTATGCGCGATTTTCCATCGATCGACGTGGTCCCGTTTCGCAAATCGTGAACGCGTCCGCGCGTTTTACACGCGCGAATATATGTAGAACAAAGCGGCGCGCAGTGCGCGTTAAACAATAGATTCATCCACGTCGCCACGTTGCGTCGCTTAAACGCACGGCAAATGACATGCCGTCGCGCGTTGTCGTCGCTCTTCGGAATTTCACCCGACGCTCGCTCCGCGATATAATACAATATTTAATTTCTTCACGTCAACCTTTCGCGCACCGGTGCGAATTATATGAAAATGTTATTCCGCCACGTCGAGAGAGAGAAAAGTCTGCCCCCCTTCCCGAGCCCAAGCGAGAACATCGAACTCCATCTCTCTCTCTCTCTCTCTCTCGATGGAAACCGCCGCGTGAATCGCGAGATTTTAATGCGCCTCGTTAAGGGCTGCCAATCAATTTTATTATTTTACGGGCGAGTTGTTGGGCTTGATCATTCTTTTAAAAAGAATCGGTCGATTTAATTTAATAGGGGGAATAATAAAATAAATATTGGAAATCTTAGCGACGCATCGTTTTTTCCCGATGTCTTAAAATTGTTATCGAATTTTGGAACGGCGGCGGAGCACTCGGAACGAGTGAGATGTGCAAAACTGAGCGAATTTATCAACATCGTGCATGCCCAACGCAAACGATGAGGAAATGCATGTGTGCTGGTTCGTCCCGTTTTCATACGAAACTGTCTCGGGCTAACCGGGATTCCAATAGCTGTCAGACATTTCACCTATGATTTGAAACGTGTAGAATATAAAATCTTCTCGACGTAATATTTAAATATCGCTAATTTCGCGACGCGAAAAATATCAAATTTTTAGCCCTAATTCTTTTTGCGTGGGCGATATTTTCGCAGAGAGCGAAATAAAATGTTCGTTCGGTCTCTTTATCGCTTTATACATCTCTATTTTTAATAAGCAAAACGAACAGGCAAAATGCGCACACATTTACGCGGAAACACAGCAGCACTTATTTGCTTTTCATTTACTGTCCTTTATTACATTTTTATACCTCGCTAAAAATATAAAAACTGAACGGAGTACGTTCCATCAAACTGGGAAAACGACCAACGTCAGAATTTTCATGTTACATTAGGCAAATAATAATTCCGCGATACTACTTTTTCACGTTACCGGCAGCAATATCGCGCCTTTTATCGATTTATTTGATAAAGGAAAAACGAATTGATTCGTGATATTTGCTAAGTGTTGTTTGACATGTAAAAAAAAAAAAAAATCTGACCGTTTCTCTTGAGCGTCCGGGATTGGATCATGAAAATTATGGCAAGCCTACATACGCGTAGCGTATGTTGGGTGTGGTCACACGTGTTGCGTGTCAATATCGTGCAATGTATGAGCACATACAAAAGGTAAAAGGGAGCGTCGAGCTTGTTTCGATCGGTGCGCGTATTCCGCACCGATGGCGAAAAAAAAAAAAAAAATCCGTCGCTGCTCGGACGATCGGATTTGTCGTTTGCACGAGCGAACTTCGCTCGCTCGGGAACCGAGCGCGGATATCAAGGCGATCGGACAAATCGCAGGCGCAATTAGATACAACAGATTACCAGCAAATTCAACTGTTGCAATCACGATTGTTATTATTGCGATATGTAATTGCTCGCCGCGTCAGCATTACACGTAATTTGCTCGGTAAAATGGTTCAAGCGAGAGGCAGATCGCCGAGGGAAGTCCGCCCGTTCAAGCAACATTCCGCTTTTTTTCCGCTCTCGTTGCGAAATCGAGTGTGATTTATTTTTTTTCTATATATTGATATTTATTTTTCTGTATATAGTAGTTTGTAGAAGAGAGAGAGAGAGAGAGGGGGGGGAGAGGAGAGAGAGGAAGAAAGATAAATAGTTGGCTTCCTCGATAACCCATTCAATTTCGACGACAAATAGAACGCAATGAACGGCCGCATCGATTTTGCGCGATAGGCGACTCGCGTTAAAGAATTAAGGAATACCTTCTGCTTTCCCGTGCAATTTCCTCGCATTCGACGTTCCGAATATTTCGGCGCTTGTCCGAGAATGATTTACCGGCCGGTGATGCGACCGCGGATGGAGTTCTGCGCGATTGCATTTTATAAAAGCGTAGCGCGAAAACGCGCGGTCGGCCCCCGGTCGGAATCTTTCCAATTTATTTTCCGGGGATGATTCTCGGCTGTGAATAGCGCGGGCACGCGAACCGCTTTCGAACCATTCGGTTTGTGTGTGTCAGATTTCATTTATAAACCGGCAAAGTTTATCCCTCCCCCCCCCCCCGATTATTCCCCCCGGGCTGGAAATATGCTCGATGTCGCCGGCCGTGCCGTACCGAAGATTAATCGCGCTTCCCAATGTGAAGACAGGATAAATCTCCCTTATCACGTTTACCGAAACGAGATGGATTCCCGTCGGGAGATCCCCGATCTACGAAAATGGATTGGTAGAACTCGAGCGACGGAAGTTAGTTTTTTTATCCTGGCGCGTATCTCTTAACTGCAATTTAACGTACCGTCAAAATATTTCCCGTATCAAAAGACGATCATCATTCAGCGCAAATGATCAAAAAATTTCACGGCGAATTAAGATTCGTTCGATTCAAATAATTTCACATTCACATTTCATTTATTTTTCTTCATAATTTTTCTCTACTAACCTTAACATTATCTCAAACTGAAAAATTTACGAATTTTTAAGCACATTTTAAATAAATTTATTTCATTACACATTTTACTTTATGACTTTTGACTCGGATGTAAATGCAAAAGATGTAAGGACGATTAAAAGACACTCTAATATCCTAAATTAAAGCTCTTCTCTAAACATTTTTCATATACATATCTTTCTCTCTGAAAATTAATATTTTGTATACGTATGCTAAATATTACGAAGTCGCGTGAATTTTGCGAAAACATTCAGACGATGAAAAATCCCCGAATACGGTTAACCCCATGCATTGCATAGTAAATTAGGTCGTATACTAGTTTGTCGGGAAATCTGGTGGAGATGTGTATGTTCGCGAGCTTCCTGCTGGAAGATTTCTTGCCAAATCGTTCGAGCTTGCAGCAATTTGCAACAAGTTTGGCTACTGAAACTTTTAAGAGCCTGCGAAAGACAATCTAAGACGGAAGAGGGACGGCCGGGCATCGTGATTACAAATTGAAAGGGGTGAAGGGCGAAGATGTCGCCTAGCGACATAAAAGTGCAATAAATCTAGCGCGAAAACTTCCGCAGTTTCTTGCCAAAAATCCAAAATAATCAGAGGAAGATTCACGAGTTAAAAATGGGAGATACGATCCAAACATTCGTATTGTTTCTACATTTTTCAAGCTTTATGATAAAATTGGAAAAATTTTCTCTCTTCCTCTTTTTCGCTCACGAGCAGATTTTAATAAATTACATTAATTTTTTATATTAAAAATTTGTTAGAAATATTAAGTTGATTTTTGTGTTGTGTGTTCTTATATAAAAAAACGCGATTAATTAAATATATTAATAAAAGTGCTGAATAAACTGCACTTTTAAATCATCAAACATCAAACATCCGTACAGCAGAAACGCCGCAAAAATATAAAATTAAAATTACTATTTATATAAATAATTAAATATCGCAAACAAAGTTATTTGCAAAACTTTTGACGTTCGTCGCATTAAATAGAAAAGATATTTATGGATCGTCCATTCGAACATAGAAATTGCGTCAATTGGCACAGTCAATTTAAACGTCAACATCGGAATATCTGAGGGCAATTATTTTTATTATAGAGAATGCTTTTGACGGAGCGTCTTCTCTCCATTGTCCGCGCGAGCGCATCCCACGGCGCGATCGTTTATTAAACGACGAAACGCACAGAAAATTCCGGGTCGTTGCAACCTTTTTTTTTTTCTTCTTCAGTTTCGCAGGTGCTGTCGAAGCAGAACCGACGTTTCTCTCCGCTTCGTCGATCCGTTAAAGAATATCCGTAACGTAAGCGTGCGCCGTGTGTTTCGCCCTTTCCGTTCGGAGTTATTATCGTGGCAGCGTGTCGCATTGCAAACCGCAGCTATCGTTTTCCATTACGCCGTATAGACGTAACGATCTGAACAATGCTCAATTAACAAGGCATGCACACGCGAGCCGTGTGCACATGCGTAGCTTTTACGAATCGAATCAGAGTGTGTAGCGCGGCGCGTGATGACATCGATACATCAATCCACTCCACAAAGGCGGACAGGTACGCGCTCGAATCGCGAAAGGTTTCAAAGACGGACCTTTGAAAAATTTCAATTTGAAAAAAAAAACGAGCGTCGAGAGAGGCGAATTTTTTAATCCATTAAAATTGGAATCTGTCCATTAAAACACATGTTCCGCTCCCTTTAATACTAGAAAGGACGAAAATCGATGGCAATCTGGAAAAATCGTTTTCCGCTTTATGCATAAAGGGATGTAAGAATCTATCTCCGATCTAAAAGGCCTCGTAACTTTCATCGACCGATCTACCGATCTACCGATCGAGTGCACGTCGGAAAAGCGTCGGATAAAATTATCGTTGTCGTACATATTAATACTCTTTTGAGTAAACTCTCGCCGATAATTTTATTAATTTCATTACGGACTTTTCTGTGGCGTTCGAAAATTTTTCTCCCCTTCAAAAAGCGATGTTAACGGATAAAGTAACGCTTAAAACGTGACGTTTACGTAAATCCTTACGTAATTCGGAAAAACCGGAGGAAGCTCGTATTCCCGTTCGGGGTGTCATGCAGATTGATGTCAAGAGGTCGTGGGGAGCACGAAAGAGACATTGATGGACTTACTCAACGTCGCATTGTTGACACGCGACTGGTCCGTCTGCGATCTGAGTAATCGCAGTCGATTCAGTTTGCTTTGTTGCTGGTCCAGCTTGTGCCTCAATCTGGCGAGTCTGTCCTGCTGTGCTGGCTCCTGAAACGGTAAACAGTGCGTGAATGCGATCGCTGTAGACAACTAGAATATACAATTGTGAACTAGAATATACACAATATGAACTGCGGTGAATCAGAAGATGGGAGGGGAATAAAACGTAACATTATCACAGCACATATCCGTGATTGCAAAATGGTTTACTTTACTGGCACAGGGACCTCAATTTCAATAACATATTTTTTTTTTTTTATTTTTTACAATTTAATTCTCAAACGCTCGAACATTTCAGGGGATGAATCTACGCGTCGGAACATGCAAAAAAATCCGCTTGCCCCGTAGCTTCTTATCCGCGAGTTTAATTCGCCATTATCAACTTTGATGGAATCGTGAAATGAGATTACGAGATCCCGGAGAATAGGTCCACTGGGGGCCTATTCCCTCTTCGAGATCGCTCTTCGAGATCAAGGCTGCTCAGTCGTGAAGGTCATTGTAACGGTAACTGCACAATCGTATTACCGATCCCCCTCATCCCTGATCTTTGAGACGACGTAACCATCGTTCGAATTATCGAGGGTTGGCAAGGGTTTTAACTTTCGAACAAGTTGCCGAACTTCGATTTGGAATTATTCTTCGATTGAGTTTTGATATTCTCCCAATGGTAATTGCCGTAACGCAGCCAACATTACGGGATATTACTCTGAGGAGGTACTTCATCCGATGAAAATGTCGGAAATAAGCGCGAATGAGAACTCACCTGTGCGCCTCGAAGCACGGCTAAGCGGGCCTCTTTCTGCTCCAGGAGGCGCCTTTGCTGAGCGATTTCCCGCTGTTGCCTGGCCGCCATGCTTTCAAGCTCGCTGAGCACCAGCACAGCACCACCCCCGCCCACTGCTAACTGAAACAGCGAGATTAAATGCACGTGAGGACGTGAAACGTGTGTGCGTGAAAACAACGCGCAATCAGGTACAAATGCGCGACGGACGATGCCGAATCGCCGATATTCGCGATTAATTACTAATTAATCGCGAATATCGGATTTTCGCTCAACCCCCACCATTCATTGTTTCTTTATCTTTTGCGAGCTTCTTGCACGGAGCGTAAAAGAATTCCGCCTCGCTAACTTCTTAAACAGTCTCCGATGTTATAAAAAAAAAATGCATCGTAAAATTTTCATCTTCAGCTTGAAATTCAAGACAAAGTTTTCTTTCTTGTTGCGATGTGTACTTTTTAAAAAAGTAAAAATAAAAAGTTTAAGGGAAAAATATATATATCCATCATGTTGTGTGATGATTATTTTTAATCTTCCAAGAGGAAATTAAAGTTTTCTCTTAATGCAAATAAAATACCTAGAAATTAAAGATAATTTCAGTTTGAATTTTTATATCGAATACACGCACAATATATCTTTTGTAAAAATAACTTACACATCCTCATAAAAAAGACAACAGACAAAAATGTGAAAAATTTAAATCGAGAGATTCAAGAATCAGCGATTGACAACTTCATCCTATCCATCATTCACCGAAATTCTGACTTAATTATCGCTTACAAAGCAAACGCTACACACAAACGTGACATAAATAAATCATCGTTTATCATGCGACGAACAGAAGTCGTCAAGCCACACTAGCATTACTAAAACTAAAAATCTCTCTGGCTCTGTAAACCGGCCTGTCCATCCACATCGATTTCGCGAGAATATCGACTGCTCAGTTTACCCAACGTTTCCCCAAAATCCTTTTGCAACATCGGGGAAGAGGATGCGGCACGACGGCGCGCGCGAATCCCACCGAGTCGAGAGAGCGCTGGACCGAGAGCGATGCTGTGTGCGCGCGCGCGCGTCCGTGACTTCTTTTTGTTTCATCTCGCGTACTACCATCTGGAGAGGACCGGCCGCGCCGCGCCGCGCCCGATACCAGGTAGAATCCCAAGGTCGGCCCTTCGAATTCCACCGTGACAAGGACTCCGCGTAACCTTCGTAAGTCAATGAAAGTACGGCCGACGATGACGGGACGGCCGGCGGGACGGGTGAAAAATAAATGGGCGCCGAACGGACACGACGCGATTGAACTGTCAGCTGTCCCCCGCAAAGATCGTCAAAGATCGGGTTTCCTCTCGTTTCCGTGACTCCGTACCTATACCTTCGGAATAGTACCCGATGCGAGCAATCGAAATAAAATGCATTCTCGCAGAAATACGCTCGTGCTCGTACGCGCTTGTCCCTTTACTGCGGGTTTCTTATTGCGTTTTTACATCCGCGGCTTGGCAAAAGTATATAATAAAAGCAAAAGCCCCCGGCGACCGCCACATTCAATACTCGCGACGCGGTAGGAAAAGCTCCTGTCGCGCGCAGCTTATTGTTAGATAAATCATCTGTCCTCTTCACGTTTGAGAATCGAATTAACAGCGCCTCGCATTTTTATACTCGCGGAAAACATGCTGAATACGTTTAAATAAAATATACGGAATAGAGTACTCTTATTCTTTTGATATATAAAGAAGAAAAAGGGGAGGAACAATGATGGATCCGCGAGTCTCGCTCCCCATTGTCTTTCGAGACAATCGTCTCTGAAGACAAACCTCCTCCCCCCCCCTCCCCAAACGCGAATCTAAAGTTCTGAGAAGCCTCGTGTATAATTCAGTAGTTCAAAGTAACCATAGGATAACCAGAGGATCAGAATATCTACCGGAAGTTGAATGCCGGGCGTATCTGGCGCGTCGTACAATATCCCGTATATATCGATACCTCTAGACAATATGTTATTGTTAAAGTTAATCCTCGTTGTCGCATAATCTCCCGTACTTACCGTCTCTCCCGACGGGCGAATCATAGCGGTCTCGAAGCGGCAGTCACAGCGAAAGTATCCGCATATCGCTCGGGACAATAACGCGATGCGCATGCATGAAACGGGGGAAAGATAATATAATACGAGTGCCTTCGGCGGGGGCCCGTCGTTCCAGCTTCCGCCTCTTTTCATTCTCGCGCGCGGTTCGCTCATTCGCGTGACAGTTAATTGTTGGCGCAGCCGAGAATGGCGAACGAAAACGTGCCTGGCGTACGGCGGCTACGCGTCGGCGGCGACGCGTATCGCGATCGCCAGGAGAAATGAAAAGGGAGCCATTTTCCGACAGCTCCGACAAACACGCTCCGAGAGAACGAACGAACGAACGATTTTCTCGCCTCCGATCGCCTCCATTCAATTTCATTATCCCGCTACGATACATACCGAGACATAGCGAGATACACAGAAACATTAAAACGAACCGAACGCGCCGAGTTTTCTGGATTAGACTCGTCACGCTTCTCGAGCAGCGATGCCGATACTTTTCTTCTCTCTCTCTCTCTCTCTCTCTCTCTCTCTTTTAACATAATGCATTTTATCAAATGAGTTTTCTTACACTGTGGGATTTATAGTCGTGAGACACGAGTGTCTCCCCTTATCGCGGAAACGTTACTCTCAAAAACTCCGGTTGCACTCCGATTATCAGAAATAAAAATCTTGGGAAACACTACTCTTTCCTCCTCGAGGATATCTATCTAATTTATTTAAGAAGTACATGCCCCACGTTTCTTTCTATTAATCTTCGGAACGGAAGAAATACCTTCAACAAAAGATGATTGCGCACGCCACGAGGGTACACGCCGCGGCGGTTCCTGCAATCCTTTCACGCCGAGTCCTCAATTTGATCTGGCCAGCTCCGCCGAAAGAAATATTAGAAGGGAAAAGGTAATCTTCCCGACCGATAACCAACAGAATTCGTTTCCGTGCGTGAATGGGCAGGAAAGTTGCGCGAAAAGATGCTCCCTCGGGAGGAGAGTACGGTAAGCGAAAAAGAAATTTCTCATAGAGACGGATTCTCGTAGGAGAGCGGATAATCCCCGGGGGATGATCCGCCCGGGCGATCCCCCCCCCCCTGCAAAATTAATTTCGAAGAGCCTGAAAACAGGTAGCGCGGAAGAAGCCGTAATCGGCAGTTTGTCTCGGCTAAGGCGTCGCTGTCGGGTCGAGATGAGGTCTCCTCCTTTTTCGGGGGGGGGACCACCCATTCGCGAAATTAATGAAAGTGCGACTCACGTCACATCTACGTAAAAGACGAAAGGCGAAAGCGGAATTATATAATTAACTCTCACGCCCCTTTTCCCGACTTCTCCCATTACGACTATATTTTAATATATAGCTTCCGATTTCAATCCCTTTGTGCATTTCGCGCCGAGACAGAAATATTTCATGTCCCCCTCCCCCGCCCTCCCACCCCATCCCTCTTTCTCTATCCGTCAGCATTTCGAGATATTCTACATAATTCTCAAACAATGTGAAAATTGACATTTTACAA